GAGAATGTGAGAGATTTCGACTCAAGTCCTTAACAGATGATCAATTCAAAGCCTTGATTCTCATATGCAGTCTCCAATCTCCTCGTTTCACAGATATCCGAACTCGACTGCTCAATCAGCTAGAACAAAATCCCAAGTTAACATTACATGACATAGCTGATGAATATCAACGGCTGATTAATCTGCAGAAAGACACACACTTGGTCGAATCAACACCTCCGAGAAGCTCTGATATTCGTGCATTACGCAAGAGCAAAAATCTCTCATCAGCTACTCCTGACCCACCTACTTCTCCTAATGTTCCGCGGAAATCTACACATACTCGTCCAAATTCACAAAATACTGCAAAGAAGACCCCACCATCACCATGCTGGCACTGTGGCGCGTGGCACTTTGTAAAGTCTTGTCCATACAAAAATCACCGTTGCAGCAAGTGCAAGATCATCGGTCACAAAAATGGCTTTTGTCAGCCACGCAAACCCAGATGTCAAAATCCAGCGAAAGCTCGACAAACTGTTGGTCCTGAATCCCCCAAAAAGTCATTGAGTCTACGCGCAACCCGTCAAGTCACAACACCAGGTATGCAGAAATATCTTGATCTTCAGATGAATGGTCATGATGCACGTCTGCAGTTAGATACCGCCTCTGATACTACTGTTATATCAGAGAAACTTTGGAATTATATTGGCAGACCACCTATCACCAATACTTCCCAGTCTCTTGTCAGCGCCTGTTGTGGGCGCCTCAAACTAATTGGTGAACTGAAATGTTCCGTTTCCTTCCGCAATACCAAATTCACAGGAATTTGCTACGTCACCAAGGGTGATTTAAATGTTTTGGGACTTGATTGGTTCGATCGTTTGCATCTGGCTAATGTCCCACTAAATTCTCTACGCAATACAGTGAAGAAGCATAAAATGCTAGACAATTCCGGACGGAGCCGAAGCCGCAAACCCAACAATCAGACGAAACGACAGGCGTCAACAACAAGCCCAAAGGTCCCAGATAAACCCCCAGGTAAACATCCTACTAATCATTCATCTTCTCAAAAGGGGAGGTGATATGTATCCACATATATATATTTATGTGTGTGTATGCATGTTGGTCTCTCTTTCTGTTTGCTCGGTTAGTCTGTGACCACTTCACTTGTATGGACTTGTCTCCTTTATTAATGTGTATTCTCCTTATATTATATTATATATAATATGAGTGTTTGTTGACAGTCCGTTGCTTGGTGACATATATCCATATATGTTTGTTGGCATGTCTGCTATATTCGCTATGTATAATTGGATCGACACTCCATTATAATTAGCCATTCATGTTAAGACTGTTTAATGATTTTTCCCACGCTTGTCTGAATTATTTATATATATTCGCATTCACAATCTGTGTGAAAAAAAAAAAAACTACTTTACTTACTTACCACTTTGGTGTGAGACCATTTATTTTCGTCTCCTTGTGTTTGGACAATAGAAGTATCATCGCAAACCTAGTGGTCTTCTGATTTCCGCCTTCTCGCGTCAGGACTATTAGTTTCTCGACCAGTCCATAACAATAATTCAGCGACGAGTACATAACAATTTGGCGACGGGGAAACTAGAACATAACAATTTGGCGACGGGGAAAAACTACTATTAACCACTCAGCAGCAGCAACATAACAATTTACTATGGATTATTCTAAATTGGAATTATTGTTTGAACAACAATTGAAATTAATGGAAATGTTCGTTAACCAACAGACTGGTCCAACTTCACCTTCAAGCAATCCCAATCATACCATGCTACCATCTGTCGACGGAATTGTGAACAGCATTTCACAGTTCAATTATGACCCAGAGGCTAATGTCACTTTTGACACATGGTATCAACGTTATGAGGATTTATTCACTGTTGATCTCGCCTCACAAGACGATGCCTGGAAGGTGCGAGTTTTGCTACGTAAATTGGGTCCGGCAGAATATGAACGGTACTGCAACCTAATTTTACCACAGAAACCACGTGACAATTTTTTCGATGATACAATAAAGTTGCTGCGTGAACATTTCGGAGACCACTCCTCATTATCCAGTATACGTTATCGTCGCCTCAAGCTGGCAATGAATGAAAATGATGATTTTCTTACTCACGTTGGCACAGTCAACCGAGAATGTGAGAGATTTCGACTCAAGTCCTTAACAGATGATCAATTCAAAGCCTTGATTCTCATATGCAGTCTCCAATCTCCTCGTTTCACAGATATCCGAACTCGACTGCTCAATCAGCTAGAACAAAATCCCAAGTTAACATTACATGACATAGCTGATGAATATCAACGGCTGATTAATCTGCAGAAAGACACACACTTGGTCGAATCAACACCTCCGAGAAGCTCTGATATTCGTGCATTACGCAAGAGCAAAAATCTCTCATCAGCTACTCCTGACCCACCTACTTCTCCTAATGTTCCGCGGAAATCTACACATACTCGTCCAAATTCACAAAATACTGCAAAGAAGACCCCACCATCACCATGCTGGCACTGTGGCGCGTGGCACTTTGTAAAGTCTTGTCCATACAAAAATCATCGTTGCAGCAAGTGCAAGATCATCGGTCACAAAAATGGCTTTTGTCAGCCACGCAAACCCAGATGTCAAAATCCAGCGAAAGCTCGACAAACTGTTGGTCCTGAATCCCCCAAAAAGTCATTGAGTCTACGCGCAACCCGTCAAGTCACAACACCAGGTATGCAGAAATATCTTGATCTTCAGATGAATGGCCATGATGCACGTCTGCAGTTAGATACCGCCTCTGATACTACTGTTATATCAGAGAAACTTTGGAATTATATTGGCAGACCACCTATCACCAATACTTCCCAGTCTCTTGTCAGCGCCTGTTGTGGGCGCCTCAAACTAATTGGTGAACTGAAATGTTCCGTTTCCTTCCGCAATACCAAATTCACAGGAATTTGCTACGTCACCAAGGGTGATTTAAATGTTTTGGGACTTGATTGGTTCGATCGTTTGCATCTGGCTAATGTCCCACTAAATTCTCTACGCAATACAGTGAAGAAGCATAAAATGCTAGACAATTCCGGACGGAGCCGAAGCCGCAAACCCAACAATCAGACGAAACGACAGGCGTCAACAACAAGCCCAAAGGTCCCAGATAAACCCCCAGGTAAACATCCTACTAATCATTCATCTTCTCAAAAGGGGAGGTGATATGTATCCACATATATATATTTATGTGTGTGTATGCATGTTGGTCTCTCTTTCTGTTTGCTCGGTTAGTCTGTGACCACTTCACTTGTATGGACTTGTCTCCTTTATTAATGTGTATTCTCCAAAAATTATATTATATATAATATGAGTGTTTGTTGACAGTCCGTTGCTTGGTGACATATATCCATATATGTTTGTTGGCATGTCTGCTATATTCGCTATGTATAATTGGATCGACACTCCATTATAATTAGCCATTCATGTTAAGACTGTTTAATGATTTTTCCCACGCTTGTCTGAATTATTTATATATATTCGCATTCACAATATGTGTGAAAAAAAAAAAAACTACTTTACTTACTTACCACTTTGGTGTGAGACCATTTATTTTCGTCTCCTTGTGTTTGGACAATAGAAGTATCATCGCAAACCTAGTGGTCTTCTGATTTCCGCCTTCTCGCGTCAGGACTATTAGTTTCTCGACCAGTCCATAACAATAATTCAGCGACGAGTACATAACACGTTTATACAGCAGAAATTCTCCAAGCGTACCTTGCATTTGTTTTTCCAATTTCGACATGAATATATCTGCCAACGGGGGCCCAAGAGGGCTCCTCATCGATTTGTTTGTATGCCATTCTTTGGAAGGTGAATGTAATATTTTCTGTACATATTAAGATGATGTCTCTGATGTAAGTGACAGGAACAGGTAAGTTTATCCCATTGCTAGTGATGTGATCGCAAATGAAATCAAAAGTTTCATGAAGAGGAACATTGGTGAATTTAATTAATTTAATTTTTGATTACAGCTTGATTCCACACTATTTTTGGTACAAGTATGGAATTTTCAGCATGGATATCGGTAGCTCGAATTTTGCAGGCCGACCATAGATATCAGGTGCGTCGGCAGGGGATCGAACCTCGGACCATGTGCATGGTCGACGAGAGTCCTAACCACTGTGCCACCGACGCACAATTCTTGATCACCCTGGTCCCGGCGCCAAGTCAATTGAACACATAACCCTATCCTTAATGTTCAAGGTGTCTAGCATATCTGTCAGATCAAATGAACTCTTTACAGAATGATTTGATAATGAGTCTCTTCTAGGCATAAGGACCGTTGTATGGTATGGAGAATTCGACATATCTAAGATGGGTTCCCAGTTTTGTGGATCTTCGGAAGGCCATAAAGCCGGAGAGTATGTGACCCAATTGCTTTAAGTTGTTTATAAAGTTTTTCATTTATAAAACCATGAATCAGTAAAATCTGAAGTTGACGATTAATCTGCTTTTCCACAAGCAGAACATTATCAGTAACATTGTCCACCAGAAATTGGAGTGATCTTTGATGATATCATTCATTTTATTTTGATAATCCAATTTATTGTAAAGAAACTAAGAAATGATATCACCTCGGGAAATTTGTCTTCTAAATGTCTTATTCAAATTTATCAAAGAGAATTGTTTATATATATATATATATATATATATATATATATATATATAAAGATTGTTAACTGGTCGTTTCGTAGGCATATTGGGCATTTTTCACGAATCAAAGGTTCAGCCCATCTAACTTGCTTAGCGGTCTTGATAGTTTTCCCATCAGTATTCGCACCGTCGTCTATCGCATGTTGGAGCTTTTCTATCACTAGACAGGCAAGTTTGTTGTCTAAGTAGGCTGATTATGGTCTCTTAATACGTCGTCGACTTTTCATTCTTGCCTTCAGCCTGTCGCGACTGTTATGGGTTGGTCCATGGCTGAACAGGTATGATTATGCCTGAAAAAGACACAACTTATGCAGCATTTTATCAACGGAAATATATATTTATAACTCTCATAATTCGACTCAAGTATGCGTTCACCCTACCTTAGTGAGATAAAAACTACATTACTGTAATGATCAGTACCTGAACGCCTAAATAAACCGTAATTTCTATACGGTTTAAAATAAAGTGCAACAGAGTAAGTCACGCATAAATTAAATGTAGTTCCATGACGAAACTTAACTAGTCACCTTCAATCAAACTACAATAACATGCTGTAAGCAAGCAAAACTGTGTAGTAAGCGATAGGCCGAAAATACATACACAGTTACATATTATACCAAATACATACTTCAATGTAACATATAAACTATTATCAGTCCTATATATTTTAAGTTAAAATGGACACGATTCCAAGAAGAATAGAAAGTGTATTTGTAAAAAGTCAAACAAACAGCTGAGAGCAGTATTCACACTCTAAAGATCATTTTTTCTTTGCTTGTAAACCAGCACCAGCATTAAATTTGAAGAGAATGATATCCCCATCTTCAACAACATACTCTCTTCCCTTCTGTTTATATTTCCCAGCAGCCTAATTTTATGAGAAAAACAAATGAAAATCAGTTGCAAAAAAATAATAAGAACCAATATAGCTTTTAGTTACAAATGTTCATAGTAAATTCATAAAATAGCAAACTGACATTATGGGTGTCTGAGAGCTCACAAAATGGTAGAAGGTGAAACTTTTAATATGTCACCATTATCCATATTGTGGAAACTGAAATTCCTAAAATACAGTTAACCATATACCAGAAAGACTAAAAGGAGACACTTGTTAAAATAATCTATGAATCCATGTCAAGGCAGTAAGGCAAACACATATATTATGAAGGTTAGTGATACAAATCCGTTGCCTGAAACTCGGTAGTTAGAATGACATTCGTAGATGTGCAGAATTTCGAGATACACAGACGTCAAAATTAATATACCAAAACTTTCCAAAACACGCAGCACTAAACTACTTTGCATGTACTTTTTGTTTGAGTGAACTAGCGAAAAACAGTTAAATAATTGGAACTAGGTCGGTTAAGTGCTCTATGCTTGTGTTAGCGAAAATTATGTATGAGCAGCATGACGTACGATTACCACTGACACAACAGTTACGGTGTTAAATTACTGTAAAAACTAGTAAGCAGTAGATGATTATGGAGTAACAACGTTTAAATGGCGTAAACAAAACTAATCCCATACACAATTGTGATATTTTATGAAATTCGAATATTCCCATAATTTACTGAGAACAAATATAGTTAAAACGAACAACTGTTTTCAATACAATTATAAATCCATTAATTTAAGCATACAATAGCAAGTAAAGGTATATTAGAATCATATCAGAAATGTATGATGGAACAAGTATAGAACGGTACTGAACAACAGACAGTTGGTTTTTGAAGATGCATGGTCATTGAGAACTTGATATAAAATAAGATGAAATGATTTAGACTGTGCTTTCAAACACTAAAACTAGCTTATGGAAGAATAAGTGTTACTCTATGACGTGACAGTTTCAGTGTACATCCTCAAATCATTTTATCTCATTTTCTCATTGACCATGTGTCTTCAAAGCCAACCGACTATTGTTCCACCATATCCTATACTTGTTTCGCAATACGTTTCTGATATGATTATAATATGCCTTTACTGGCTATTGTATGCTTAAATTAGTGGATTTATAATTGTAGAGCCGGAAGAAGAATTTATTGAAAACAATTGTTTGCTTTATTAGTCTTTGTTCTGATATTTTGCGCTCAACAGCAACAGATGTTTGGACCTCCAAACCATATACGACAAAAAGTACCTTAGCTGTAAGACTCAGAGACAACTGAATTATTTAGTTTTTAGGTAACAGTTCCCAGGAGAAATAACAGCAGCATTCAAACAAAACGCTGAAGTAATGCGCAATGGGTACAAAGATGTAGAAATTTTTCACTCATTAATATACAATCATGGGACTCAATTAAAGCAGACGACGAGAATACTCTGAAAATAATCAAGTGAATTACCTTAACAGCAGCTTCTGAACCTTCGGTTCTGAAATCCTCATAAGACATAACTTCAGCCATTATAAAGCCACGTTCCATATCTGTGTGTATTCGGCCAGCAGCTTGAGGAGCTTTAGTACCTTTCTGAAAGTAAACAATTATGTATTAAATGATACTATAATGCTTTTGACAGACCTTAATAAGATATCAACATGAGGACAAAATAAGTCATCAAAGTAATACCCTGATTATCAGCCAACCACTGTCTAAAATACTTAAGATCGTAATGCGTATAGAAAATGGGATAAAATATTTGATAGACATTAAGGAAATCACAGCCTAGCGTGTTATGCCTATCAAGGAGATAATCAAACGACTTAGAAAATCAAAACAAGTGGTTCGGCGAAGAGACTCTTTTCAACGAATTTATCATCAAGCTGTACAATCGACTATCTATAAGAGTTGTAAGAGATATTACTTTCGACACTAGTTAACCGATAGCTTTACACGACGAATATCAGTAATCGCATTTAGTTCCAGTTCCTTACCAATGAATTCACTAAAAACCTAAATTTGTTCGGAAAGTTAGTAATTACTGAAATGAAGATGGATAGAGTCTCCGGTAACTCCTGAGCACTAAATTAAATCCGTGAGATATTATTGTACTCCTTTCCTGGAATATGACTAACTGACTAATTCCAACGTTGAAATTTGCACAGATGTACAGCAGTCTGAGGAACCACACAGAACAAGAGGAGAGATGTTCAAAAGGAAGTGATAAACAGAAGTGTTAGCCCAAAAGAATAGTCATATACAAGATATGAAAAATCACAAGGAGTGAATGCATCTCCACCAGCCATTGAGAACGACTTTGAGCCATATCACCAATTGTCTCCAGTCATTGGTTGTTGTCATCCTGGGGCCCTAACCAGACAGTTTAGACCTCCATTCGTGACTTAAATTAACTGTTATGGATTTCACTGACTGACGCTATATTTTGGTTTGACCACCACTGTCTAGCTCTTTTCCATCCTATGTCAGCTAACATTGCTCATTAAAGGGAGGCGATGGCTAGTGATGCATGTGTAACACACGTCCTTACCATCACAACCGATGTAAATTCACAACCTCGTTGATTGACTCTCCACCTCACTGAACACTCAATCGACACTTAACTTCGGTGTTACTCACCCTATGGTACTACTTAACACGAGAGATAGAGCGCAAGCACCAGTGATCAAAGAAAGCTAGTCTTTTCATGCTTTCTTCTTTCAATGGCGATTTCTCACGGTCACAAAGAAGGAGAGAGCGAGAACTGTTGAGCAGTACTCAAATCCTTTGGTCGATAACCAGTCGGATCTCGTGTCTACGCCAGAGATGGCGTAAGTTGGTGTATTCCAAACGTGCAGAGGTCTCGTCAGTAGTCAATTCACTGAGGCTCAAAAAGTCAGCGAGACTATCCCCTGGTGAAAAGTCAATTCCTAAGTCGTAGAAGCCAGTTAGGGTCAATTGGAGTAGCGCATCTATGAAGAAATAAAATAAAAGTGGCATCAATGGGCATCCCTGACGGACAGTACTGGTTGCCACTACTTCAGTTGAGAAGCATACAGTTGAGAATAGTAGAAGACTAATTCAAAGTATTAAAAAAGAGATAACACATACAGTTTTCAAACAAGTTTGGTGATGGAGGCAACCGGATTTACTTTAATCAAGTCATAAGAGAGAGCTACCGATAACATAATTAAAAGAAAGCAAAATGGGAAGCTACACACTGAGGTTTACAGAAAACCCACACATTTGGGCTTTAAGATATCGCACCCTATTAGTAGAATAAGATCAAAGAAGTGATTGGTAAATGGGGCAAAACAGCTTGTGAGTATGAAAGAAAACCTACAAAAGGAAGCAAGATATATGGATGAGGTCCTGTTGGCCAAAAATTACACCAACAACTTTGTCTGGAATTATTTTTAGAGATAATAAGAATAAAAAAACAGCAGGCAACTGTGACATAAATACCAATCGCATATATGAAAATAACAGGACCAATAAGGAGAAATTTAAAACATTCACAGTGCTGGCATACAAAGAGGAAATTTATAAGACTCCGTGAAGAATTCAAAACGACGCAGAGATCTAAGCAATGTTTAAGCTTAGGAACTGACTTAAAAACAGAATGTATCCATTAGATCTTATGCAACCCATAAGGTAAAATAATTAAGTTCCTGTAGTACAGTTAAATGAAATCAGGAAGAAATACGTAAGTCATGGCGGTAGGTCAGGGTCAGTCAGGTTACTGGATAAGGACGGTACTAAAACAGTGAATATAAAGAGACTAGCTTTAGAACTATATAGTCACACAAAAACCACGCAGTACGTTGAGACAAAGTGACGATCTTAAAATCTAAAACAACAGAATGTAGAGAATGGTAACAGATATGTTTATAGAATTCATTTAAAGTACATGCAACAAGAATATTTGGCACTTATCCTTGACATCTGCAAAATTCTGCCACCAGAACTGTAAAATCACGTTTCAAAGTAGCAATGAACATGGTTAACAATAAACTGTGTGATCTATCTAATAAAAAAACTAACATACAGTTACCCACTAACACAATGCCCAAGTCTCACATATAAATATTAAGATATAAAAGTACATTTTAAGCTACTTATGGCTCGCAAAACCGGTGCAACTTTTCAACATAATTCTTTCATGGACAAAAAACAGAAGAATCACTGATATCAACAAATAAGCTTGTAATAAACGCAGCAATACCAACCTGTATTGTCCAAGCTTTGACTTCATCTGGACCACATGTGAAGAAATATTGTAACTGTAATGTTTGGTAACCGACCCGAATAATTTTTGGCAGCATGCTAGTGAATTCATTTTCTTTCATGTATGTGCTAGCTACTTCTGGAGACATTTCGCTAATTTTTTGCTCAAGGTCGGCGGAGAAAGGAATAATAGTAGCACTGGGATCATGTTCATCAACCCATTCTTTAATTTTCGGTAGCCTACAGGAACAATTATAAAGAATGACGTAAAATACCCATAAAACTGAGAATATATTGAGTCACCAAATTTTTTACACCTTTATACTGAAGCGTGGAAACTGTATTTCGTAAAATCATCGTGCTTTCACTAGAGATTTTCAAATGACTCAAGTATAACAATCACTTTTCACCCTCACTGTGTTATCCATAAAAACGAACTGCCAGCAAATACTATATAAGAACAATGAGTACATTTGAATATGTCAGGAAGAAAACAACATGAAACTAATTTTCAAGTAAAGAAATTTCGGCATCAAACCTGTTCATTAGATGTAGTATTCAATGTTACCACTATTTTCCGCGTTTGATTAACTACTTTAGTTTATAACTTTATTAAATGAGTCGTAAATTTCGATTTTCAGGAAATATTATATTCAATATGAGTGTGAAAGAGAAAACTGAGAAAAGACATTTCAGAAATGTAAACTAACCATTTGCTTTTCTTTTTCAAGAATGCCTTCTCTGACATGTTTACCAAGTAGATCACGGGTTTGGCTGTGATAAACAGATGTTCGTTAAGTATTTCCACCTAAGTAATTTTCGCAGAGGGACAAAAGAAGGTTAAAATACTGCATAATGAAATAAACTTCAAAAATTAATTAATTAAGCTGTATATCACGATTTTATTACGTTTAAGTTACCAGAAAAAAGTAACAGATAGTTGCACGATTAAAACGTTAGCAAACATGGCAAAACTATGAACATTTAGAGCAAGTTTCCACGATAAATCTTACTACGAAGACAATCCATTCTAGTTAGTGGTTTACGTGTTCCTAGAAAATTTTACCAATAAACTCATACAATCTAAGTTTGTAATCAATAAAATCCCACATTAGTGTATACTCTGATCTGAAGTTTCCAGTGATGAAAGTTTAAATCTCATGTTGGGTATTAACTGCGAAATTTCACAAAAGGAGAACGAAAAATGTTCCAAATAGCAGTCCATACACGGTAAATAGAAATTCAAAATATACCACTGATTGACCATTAAATCTTAAAGCTAACTAGAATGTGATAGTATATCTAAACCAATTCGAAAAATGCACTCTCTGACATGCCTTTATATTTGAAAATCACCAGTCACTGATTTCAGCAAATCTAAACACGACGAAGTCTGACATGTTTGAATACCTGAAAATCGTTTCATTATACACACTTAAGGGAAGTATTTTGTTCCCTGACACATGGCTCAAAACCGTTCTCAGTGGCGCAGATGCATCCACTCCCTGTGACTTATGATCTTCAATGAAACTGTTTTGTATTTCTTTATTACTCCTTTGTCTCACACCTCTGCTCACTGTTTCTATTATGCTTTTCTTGTACTTTCTTCTCTTGCTTCGCGTGCTACACGGAATGTGGCGACTTGAACTTCCGCACATTTGTGCAAAGTTCTATGTCGAAAACAGACAGACAGACAGAAGCAGGAGGATATCTGTTGCCTGATAAAAGTAAATCAATAGTGAAAGTACGATGTAGCTACCTGAATCTTAATACTCCTTAGATGTGAAAATACGATATATGAGCTGTGTATGGCATCATCAAAACCCAAAGGTATTTTGACAAAGGTTTGTGTTTAACAATGAAAATGGCTGAGAGTTGTGTTTAAAGCATAATAGCTTATTAGGAGAGATATTACTGCTATAGAATGAAATGGATACCAGGTAATACTGATTTGAGGATACAAGTCGGTATTTACATACACTATTCAACAAACCGATTTTTTCTAATTATGACTAGTGAAATATCAAGAAATGTAATAAATGAAAGCACATAAAAACATGGTTTTCGGATTCACGATTCCATCCTATTTATCGACTAATAACTCTTATTTCATTTTACAATAAGCCACTAAACTACCCCCCCCCACCCCAAAAAAAATTATCAGATCAACCAGTCGACATATGAACATTTAATTTTCACTAACAGTTAGCTTTATTGAAGAAACAAGAACTTGTCAAACAAGTGAAAACTGATCAACATTCATATCAATAGTTAAGTTAGATTAGAAAACTTTATTCACTTTAAGACCAAGGACGTTAACGGTCACAGTTATAACAGTTGACTGCAATTCACCAACAAAAGTTATTTACCGTCAACAAACTTTCTTATAACCTATTCAGGACAAAAAAATTTGAGCACACTAATTACTTATATTCAGAAAAAGTTTTCGGCAATTTCCGACGACGAAATTTCTCTAGCTAACCTACATGGATTTACTTAAAATGGAGCTGAAATATTCACGTTTAAATACTTGAATTCACAAACAAGTGTCTATGTCAGTCTGTATTCATTTATTTTTCGTCTTTTCTTTACCCCTTGATACATGAAAACTTTTAGTGAACCATAATGGAAACGAATGCCTGGAATAGAAGACGAAAACTAATAACAAGCTTTGAGTTTTGATGGAAGAATGTAGAGTTTCGAGGAAACTGAAGCGTCATCAATTAAACATTTAAACTTGCACTCGTGAATACTTTAAGGTAATTTAATTCTGATATAATATCTTGAAGTAGTTAAAAGATATTAACTCATGACTACAGCTATGTTCAGAGGAGGTTAGAATTTCCAAAAGCAGTACAGATGCTTTTGCATAGAATAAATTTGCCAATTGTTATACATTTCGCTTACTTCAGACACATTCCAGTCGCCGAAACGAACACTCCGCTTATCATTGACCAGCATATTTTTAACTTTTGTCAAACATTCATACACCGGCATCTGCTTTTTATCACCGCCACGAATAACTACTTTCTCACACTTTTCACATTCTTTGGTAACATATTCAATATCTTTCAGTCGTAATTCTTCATCAATAATATCCAAATCACGCACTGGGTTAATATCACCTTCAATATGAGTGATGTCTTCATTTTCGAACAATCCTATCCGTAGAACAAGATATCAACAATTGAGTAAACCTTATTAGATATTTCTAGATGAAAAAAGTTATGCTTTAATCATTGTGAGTAGATAAACAGGAAACAACACCTGATAAAAATAAATAAAAGCTGATTTTCCTCATTATATTAACTCGACACAACAGAAATAACTGGATGTTTCAAGCACGATGAATTGCGCATAACCATATAACCGTATTTGCACGCCCTCCAGAATTGCCCCATGTAGTTCTACTTCCTCATCCATTTTGCTTCAGTTTTCCGTATATCCGGACTAATGCTGCGTCATTTTGTTACTTGTTATTTGTTAATTCTAAGATGAGATATTCAGTCCATAACTACTTCACTTAACTCTTTAAATTCTCAGTACTCTGACCCTGCCTTACACCATTGTGTGAATGCATTCGAGTCCATACACAGTAATTAATGGGCTTTTTCCAAGATCTAGTATGCTGTATCTAGCTAAGTTTCTATGTTACGCTGACTTAACTGACTCGCATCGACTGTTTTGACCTGTCTTTAGTAAGGAGACTAACCATATGAGGGGATCTGCTTGACTAAAATAGTGTCACTACCTCGATGATCAATGTTAGCTGACATATGATCAAGATGGAAAAGAGCTAGTGATGGTCAAACCATAACTTGGTATTAGTCCATAAAATGTTTGACGGTTAGTCTGAGCCACGTGGGGTGACATAGGTATGCTGGTTGGGGTCTTCGGGATGCGAAGGAACCGAGGACCGGAGACTAATAGTGATGCGGTTCAAAACCCTTCTTGATGGCCCATAACCACTATGTCCTAATCTTTTCTCATGCTACTATTTTTTCTACTTCAATTTTGTGCCGACTAAAGTCCTTTTGAATCCTTTTCCTGACGGAGTGTGGCAACTTGAACTTCTACAGTTCTGTGTTGAAACTCAATCAGTTGAGTAAAATTCTAAGTTCTATAACCTTGCGTAGACTAAGAAGAGCTTGAGAGAAATAAAATCGTGAAAACCAGATAAGCCTGAGGCACGAACAAAGATGTACCGAATTTATCTTCACCATACGATAGATTCTAGAATACAGACATACATACCAGCACCAATCACGGCAAACTGGTGAACAGTCAGATCGGTTTAAAGTAAGCAGATAATGCTGTCTTTTTAGGTTAAAATGCTGGCAAAATATAACTTAGTAAATGGTTAGATACGGTTAGTAATGATGAAATCAGGCGTACTCTTCGGTTAGTCAACCTGTGAGGTTGAGGTTGTATCCATTGAAATGGCGAGAACACGTGTCACGCATGCTAAGCCGTCGCCTTCTTCTTCAGGCGATGTTATACAACATAGGGTTGATTTGAAAAAGAGTCAGGGATGGTCAAAGAGAAATCGGCTTAAGTCCATGAATTCTTCGACTGTTGGTTTGAGTCAAGTAAAAAAGGTGTACACTGTCTCACCGGGGTGTTTGAGAGGCTGATGATCAATGACTGCAGATTGTTGGTGACGTGGCTGAATATCGTTCTCAATGGTGCAGAAACATTCGCTCATGAACTCCGACATCCACTAAATTCTCACCATTCTCTGTGAAATTAACCTATTTTCCCTTACATTTCTACATACTACTTTCTATCTTTGTATGCGTTCTCAAATGTTGCAGCTCGAACTGTTGCACTAATGTGCAAAATTTTACGTTGAAAATTCTGGTTGTTTTACAAGCAGTCAGATATTCCAAAGCGACTCAGAGGTATATGATTTTTTTCATTTAAAGAAAATCATCTAGTGAAAAATACACGATATCGTGTTTTTCTTACTGAATACCCTTTCAGTTAGTGGTCATTATGCAGTATTTCTCGAGAAAATAGATTTCCTTGCATCTTTTAATGTATTACCACAGAGTTATGTAGTATACCTGGTTCATCCTTTACTCGCGTGAGAAAATGAAGATCAGTATCACAAACCTAAACTACTTTTGAAAATTCACAAAATAAGACAGTTATTGAAGCATGGTCTAGAACAAAACTCAGTTTATATCATAGTCATGATTTAATTATAGTACCACTCACAGTACTGAATCTCTTGAAATTCTTCGTTCTTTGTTTTGATTGATCAAGTTATCACTGCTAGTCACAATTTTCCAACTGGTTAGTCATAAAATACCAGTGTCTTGGAAGAACTTTGGAGGACTTTTTTAAATTTTTGTGAGCTAACTGAAAAAACTACTCTACAACCTACATACAGTACGACTTCTGATTATTTTTATTCAGAAACTGGCCATTCAATGGCATCTAACAAAAGCTATGTAGAATGCTTCTGGTGAAACCTGACCACAAAAACATCCAATTTTGCTCTGGTCAACACGATATTTATAAGACTCACAATAGGTGAAAAATGAAATAAGAAAAGTTGCAGGCATAAAAACAAGAATCACACGATCCAATGAAGGATAATACAAAGAAATGCAATAGCAATAAGATACAGTCCTAAGTTATTTCCGTTTCGTGTCCCCACTATTTACTTTTACAACCACTTGGAAAATTGCGACGGCTGGTCCCAGTATCTAGCTGCTCAAACCTACGCAGGTAAAGACGGCTTCATATCTGTGTCCCAATAAGTGGTAATCAAAACCCTAAAATAATTCAGTGACAGCTCTAAAATATTTAGAGGAACAAACGGCAAATTGAAAAACTTTGTAATAATTACGGAAATGGGCCATAAAACAAGGAAATCAGTGTGTAACATTCTAAGCACCTTGACAAAGCCTGGTTAGTGTTAGTGCTCAACGAGTACAATTTTATTTATTGAATAGCATTCCAACACAAGTGGTAAAAATAGCACAGAGGAAAGTTAATATTAAAGTTGGAATTTTAACACATAATAGTTAGCCCTGATAAGTTTAATCTGTTAGTAATTTAATGCACTTAGTGAATAAGTTATGACAGCAAAATAAACTGCGAACCTAGAAATTGACTGTATGGATCTAGTGCAGATTCTGACTAAAAATACTTGATTAGTAGAAGAAACAAAATAAATATTCAGTAGACTGCATTAGATAAAATAAGCATTATAGTAGTACTAGACGTGCTTACTTAACATATGATAAATTGCATCAACGCCTCGAATATGCGAAAGAAACGCATTTCCAAGTCCCTGACCTTCGTGGGCTCCTTTAACTAGACCAGCAATATCCACGACATTTAAATACGCAGGAACTCGGCTAACAAAGAGAAAATAACAAGATCATAGAATAAGTGAGTACGAGAATACCATTTAACAATAAATAACAAGCAGCCAGCAGAACAGAAGACAATGCAGAGCTAAATTGGAAGATGATTAGGTTGAATTAGGTTAAAAACCAAGCACCACTCATAAGACAGCTAAATTAATACATGTTTTGTAAAATCAATCAATACCATATTCTCGAAGCTGACAAGTACAAACTGTAAACGGAGTGATGCACGCCACAAACGTCCAATGCAGTGACTGGCTTGTAATAATTCAAATAAGTGTCTGTCACCACGAGTCTTTGATTAGCTTTTTTCGATGAATAAGAATTCAAGAATGATTAAGATGGAAATTTTCTTACACTCCTATAATTTGCAATTATTTTAAATGCAAATGCAGTAAGTTATTACAAAGCGTAACTTAATTTCTGGACGGTATAGACTGACACAAGCTAAGATTTTTTAAATGGATTTGAGAATATGCCAGTTAGCAAGAGTCAATAGATAACATCAAACAGACCGACTATAACAGCAGTCAGTGGGGATTTGGACCAATCAACTTTCAACCGCATCCAAAGCTTACTTTACCCGGGTAACTGCGTGGCAAGTTAGGCGCCCCGATGATATCGCCATACCCAAACACGAGAATCGACACTAAAATGATGGTACTTTCCGCTGTGAAAATGATATTTTAAACTATCACGAGTGGACTACTAACAAAATTAAAAGAGGCTTCATATATGATAATGTCGCAGCCTATTGACAGCATAACAACCCAGTCTACATCTTTCGGAAACAACCTCATCTTACTATGTTGGTCTATTTAACTAAAAGTATTTCAGTAATGATACATATATCACTAGAAAAAATTGTTCAGTGAGATAGGATAACCCACCTCACAGGCTGGTGGTGTTCACAGAGCCACTCGAATCTCTCATCAGGAACCGAAACACGACCTAGAGAGGTAACTAAGATATTCAAAGCTTACTTTCATTTGGATTTATAGTACAGAATGGGAAGTTCTCGGCTGGCACTTGGCTTTTTGTGAGAACGTTGAAGAAAGTGGACTTTCTACATAAAGTTAGCAATAAGTGATCAACACCTTACCCAACATTAGGTAGACCTACTACACCACATTTAAGATTTGTTCCTATCCTTCCCAAGAGAACAGTCTTTTGCGGTACACATCCCTTCTTTTTGGACATCAACCTGCAATTTCAAATCCCGCTGTTCTTATGAAGGTCAGCACGAAGTGAGTGGGAAATCCTCGATGTACCGTTAGGCGGATATTCAGCATTTTCTCTGAGGATGACAAAAACAAGATTTTATTGATTCTTCTTTATAAAACATCCGAGCTTGTCGATTCTTCTTCAGGCAGAATGTATGTAGAATGAAAAGTTGATTCCACGATGGCGACACAAGGGGAGAACCAGTACTCCAGAGAGATATAATCTTAGTGGGAAGGAAACATTTAAATATAGAGTAATGGTTATTCTTTCAAATGTTGTGCATCACAAGTATATTCCATTAACGGGTCAACCATGATAAAAGTAAAGCATTCTGTCTTATAGTCCTTTCTCGTATTGTAACCTCATTTAACCATGGATCACATATGTACGAGTTCAGCGGTATCCAGTTTTAACAAATCACATTATAAATGGGGGACAGGCAATCTCATGCATACGCACTAGTAAATTTTATAATTGCAGGCACTAAGTAGGCCCGACGATTTTTGTTCAAACCCCATACTTTGCTCTCATGAATGGCAGTTCACTGGACAGTTTCTGGCTACCAGAACACCTATCCTAGACTTCCAGGATAAACCGCGAAATACATATACTTCTGCTCAGCTAGTTTTCCTGATCATATTTCTTGGATAAGGACAGTATCATTCGTGCACAATAGTTTCACGTTATGATTACTAGTGTGGTTTCTTCTGGACGGTTTTGATCCGCAGCAGTAGATTATTCCAGAGAATTTTAAGTCGACTTGTTTAGCTGAAGGCCTGAAGTCAGACGTCCATTCTATTTTGGCACGCTGTCGTGTTACGTTCGACTATTCGTGTTCTAGCCCTAGCTCGCTGGGCAGTCATCCTTTCGATACGAATTCGGTCCTGAAATATACTCCACATTTGAGACGATCGATTCGGCGTTTTGCTTTGTCTTCGGCCTGCTCAAAACGAATACTATGGGAGTTGTGGTTACTAGATCCTTTGTTAGTGTACATCGTAATATCCGTAAACTTCAGCAACCCCTAGCCTTTAAACTGGTGAACCCTAATGCGAACTCTACCTTAAGTAAATACTCAAAAGAATCTTGTGAGTTCGTTCAATTTTCTTTATGTTCATGAGTTATATATACTATATTTCAGATATCTTTTTCACAATTAGGGACCATACGCCTAAGGTTATCCATATATGACCAACTAAGACCACTATTTGGTTCGTGGAAATGCAATAGAATGGTTACTCATAGCTGAGTTTGACTTCATTGGACATGGGATCATCCATTGACGTTAACAGTTCCTCGCAATTATGCATGCCCTACCACGGGAATCAGGTATATGCGTTGTTATGAAAATGCTCCACCACAACGGAACTTACACAATAAATATTAATCATTGTTTCACTATCTCTCCTTCCAGAAAGAAACTCAGGATGCATCAATCTGAACGAAGAGATACGAAAGCGGCAAGGATTAAACATTAGTGAAGTCAAGAATGATTGTGAAACCGTAGGACTGGACCGCCGCACTCATAAAATGGATTCCTGTATGAGAACCTTTCTTCTTACAGCTCGTGTTCTGCTTTTATTCTATGTGTGATCGCTGCTCTGCTTGTTTTAAACTTACAGCCCTGATGTAAGCGACCTGTCTCAGATGTTTAAAGCAGACCCACTCTAATGGAAAACTACACTAGAAACTTCATGTTGGATACAATCGGTCCTTGGTGATGTCAGGTGGGTCGTATTGCGGCTCCAGGTGTGCCGATTTTTTACTTGGTACATTCGCCTCACAGAATAATCTTCTCTAGGGAGAGGCTGATGGGGTCTTTAGAAATGCTGAGTCTGGGCTCGGTGTTTCGTTTCGCCGAAAATGGGCCTATTTGCACGTTTTCTAAGGTATCTTAACTGTAGAAGGATGTTGCGTATCCGTCCCACAATTGCCTCCTAGGTTTGGAGGCTGACAGTTCCTGACCAATCTTATAATCGGACGCATCATATAATGCATCCTCTGTAGCACTAAAATAAAGCTACATCCAATATGAATGGATAAAACTGAAACAAGCTAATATTAACTGTTTACGCTAGTATTACTAGTATTACATGAGTTATATGTTTTGCCTCAACCGGTTCATTTATTGTAAATATACTCTCTCCATGTCCCGTTGGGCTGGTGTAAATCATTGATTATCCCAATATTCAAGAAAAGAGACTAGTCTTCCTGTGGTAATCGTAAGGGGATTGGCTTGACTAGTATGGTATCTAAAGTTCTAGAATCAATAATCATGTGTGGATTAAGTGGTATTCGGGAGAAACAAACACGAGAAGAATAGACAGGCCTTGGACAAGAAGAGGGGTTTATCGACCATGTATTCACTCATCAACAGCATCTGGAGCATAGGCGCACTCTTCTGCGTGCAACACTTGCAATATTTCTTAGCCCGGAAGAGGAATTCGACTCCGTCGACAGACGGTCACTGTAGCAATGTTTGGGAATGAAGGAGATACCGGTAAAGTACGTCGCACTGATCACGGAAATATACTCGAAACTGAGCCACCGTGTAAAAGCCTGCAGAGAGAAATATTCAATGGTTTCCACCAGGGGTCCCTGTATGGATTCAAAGAAAGTCTTCTATTCAACCAAATCTCAGCCAATCGTCTTTCGAAGGTTAATTTGATTGTCTGTTCCTATTGGATCCCATTGCGGAAAACTCGGTTTGCAAATTACAAGAGTTCCACTGTGCGTCATATTGTGTCTACATATCCCCGTAACACCTTCATACCATCAATAATAAATGTGTTTTAAAACCATGAATTTATCTTTTACAAGTGAACTGTACCCATCGCTTTTCAATTTCATCATACATATGCTTATGGATATAACCCGAACTGCTACTCAGAAAATGATATTTTACCATCAGGGAACAAACTCATCGAATCAGGAAAGTGAGATCATGTGGTCTTCCAAAGTGCTAACAGTTAAAAATTCAGAAAAATCTGAATAATTCGAGCCGTAAAAATCAAATGCTTCGAAAGTTATACGCTACTACAGAAGGAACAGGCCATCGGTCAATATAATTAAAGACACCCCGACCTATTCAGGATTGTTTGCTCAAACCCAACTTCCCCATATTTTCGCGGAGGCATCAATACACCAATCATCGTCTCATCGGTCGCTGTTCAGAAAGAACCCAGAAAAAACCGCCAGAAGTAATATCGTGATTTATTTTTGTAATATATGTTCATAGGCCTTAGTTTATTAGGCTGCTTATGTGTTGGTGTTAGAATAAAGAATTCTCGAGTCGCCGATCTGTGTTGTTGGTTTTGCGTCCGTCAGTACTAAGGGTTTCTGAAAGGCTTCGAGGGACGGCGTGAGGTCCAGCGTAGCAAACGCTGGGCATTAACGGTTTATGAGACGTGATTTACACGGTTAAATTTCTGGTGTATATATAACTACACATTGGCTGAAGCACGCTGTTTAGTTTTTGTATTGTACATTTTGTCCTCCAGGTTGTGTGGGAAAATCGACTTCGTTTTTTTCATCCCGTGCTTGTAGTCTTACGATAGCCAACCAATATTGAGGGAAGTACAATGTTTGCAAGGGAGTGAGAGCTCTTTTAGAAAAGTTAAATTGCTAAAGTGAATCATTAAAGTGTAATAAAATAAGTGCATTATATCATTAATAAATACATTTATATAGAAAACAGAATGGGAAAGTAAATAATCCCTAGGCTGAGAACGTTCATTTGCAATGTATAATGCTACCTATATATGTGTCAGCCACGTCTCGTAAACCGTTAATGCCCAGCTCTTGCTACGCTCGGGCTCAAGCTGTCGCTTGAAGTTTCTCAGAAACGCTTAGTAATGACGGACGAAAAAACCAAAACACCAATTGTTGACTCGAGGATTCTTTATTGTTACACCAACATATAAATGACGTATGACTAAGGTCTGTGAACAAATATTACAATAACAAATCACATTATTACTTCTGACGGTGTTTTACTCTTCTTTCTGAACAGCGACCGATGAGACGATGACTGTCGTATTGATGCCTCCGCGAAAATTGGGGAAGTTGGTTTTGAGCAAACAACCATGAATTGATCGTTCAATCTTCAAATACATTGACAATATGTCTTACTATCATGATGTCCACTTTTGGCTTTAATACAATTATTTGCAAGCCTGTTGTTTTTATTTGAGACCTTCTTGTCTATTTGGTGCACAACCGTACCCTACAAAGAATAGGAATAGAATAAGTCGAATCAAATTCATAAAGAGCTTTTGCATTTCAGCTCTGTCCGTGTGAAACCTATAAAAGACAGCCAAGGAACCAAGTTAGCAAGGAAGAAAAGCAGATGAAACAATGGGCGGATCACTTCAAAGGACTATTGAACCGAGCACCACCTGCAACCTGTCTAGAAATACCAACAACAGCGCGCGCACAACTGCAGGTTGACACCAATCCTCCAACGAGAGCTGAATTCTTGAACGCAATCAAGCTTCTGAAAATTGGAAAAGCAGCCGGACCAGATGGAATACCCCCTGAAGGACTCACTGAAAGTTGACCCAGAGACTACAGCAGACATGCTGACTCCATTATTGCAAAAGGTCTGGAAGGAGGGAAAGGTGCCTACTGACTGGAGGAAAGGTTACCTAGTGAACCTACCAAAGAAGGGCGACTTTCGCCTCATTCTGCAAGAACTGGCGAGGAATCATGCTCCTGTCGACGCAAAATAAAATCCTGAGTCGCATCATCCTGGAGAGATTAAAGGACGCACTGGAGACAGAACTCCGACCAGAACAAGATGGATTCAGGAAAGGCAGGCATATCATGTACTGACCAAATTGCAACTCTACGCATCATCATCACAGAACAAAGCATGGAATGGCAATGAAACCTCTACCTCAACTTTATAGACTTTGAGAAGGCCTTCGACAGCGTTGATCGTGAAGTAATTTGGAAACTACTCGAGTACTATGGCGTACCCCAAATATTCATCAACCTTATTCAACAGCTGTACGACAACGACACATGTGGAGTGATCCACAACGAAAAACTCAG